TGGATATAAAGTGTGGGGGTTGAACTGGACCCTGGTTTGGTTGTACAACAGTTTTGCTCCTCTGAATGAGCACAGTTCCTTAATTTATGTTGATCTAAACTAAAGAAAAAAAAAACACACACACACACACACACAAAAAAGAAGCACCCTCTTACACTTTCCCTATACATGAACAGCGTCATTACTGTACAGTACAAAAGGGGAATAAAATAATAAGAAAAAAAACTGTCAGGAGGGACGCAAACAAGATGCATTTATCACCGATACAAGACAATGTTGGAGCAGACAGAAAATGTGATAAAACTGAGTGAAATCCACCACTTTACTACTAAACCCCCTGTGGCGAAACCGACCTCTCCACTGGGCATTGGAGAAGACTGATTGCCAGCCTCCTGCCATGTGACTATGGCCCCTCGGATGTATTGCCCTTTAAAGACATGATTTGGGCATAAGGGATTTGTGATGTGCTGCTGCTGGCCCTTTAAGAACCATCTGGGGACATACTGTGGAGTTACTGGGTGGCCACCATTTCCTGTATCAGAGGCACATGGTGAGAACAATGGATGACGCACATGGTGAGAACAATGGATGGCGGCCATTTTAACTCACAGACACTGTTTGGACTTTTCAACACGGTGCCATCTTGCCACTATTTGGTGCACAGAGACATCGTAAAGCTTAAACTTACACCCATATCTACACTTAGATACAGATCCCCTACACTCATACTGTGAGTGGCAAATGAGAGTTTGGGATATTTGGTGACCTGTTTTCATAGTCTTAATGCAGCTAAAACAACTCTGTATGTCCTCACCTTTACCTTCCTGAAAAATCACAAAAATGCCTAAACACATAATTTAACATTATTTCAGAAGCCCTCATTTCTACTTTTCGACCGTGCAACGGCACCTCAGCGTCCTGATTGTGAGGGCTGCAAGGATTGTCGTTCTTCTGATCCTCACTTTTCTTCACAGAGGTCCCTTCGAGACACTCTGGCTATGACACGTAGGTAGGTGGTCAGGCTTTATTATGACCGTCAAAGCACCTACTTGCTGAGATCTGTTGTTACTTTCAACTAAGATGTCCCAATATCTCCTCGTATTATTTCTCACTCCGACTGAGTTACCCGCTTTAACCGGATCTTGCAAGGATTTTCAGAATCTGGAATAGCTTGCCAAGAATCTGCCGAATCTGGAATAGCTTGCCAAGAATGATGAATCCACGGAGTCACTTCTGCCACCTTTACAGCTGTTGGAGTAGATAAAAGAACAACATAAGGACCCCTCCACTTTGGACCTAATGGAACAATTTCCATTCTTTTATCCACACTTGATCTCCCGGTTGATAGTAATGAAATGTGGATATATGTTCACAAGTAACCTATCTTGCACCCATTTCTGTACTTCCTCCATAGTTTTACCCAACTCTACAACCTACTGCCGAGTAATTCCTTCACCCAACTGATTCAAGTCCCCCCTTAGATTACTGAGTATGGGAGGTGGACGCCCATACATGATTTCAAAGTGAGACAGACCCATTCTTCTGATAGGAGTACTACGTATCCACAACAGAGCTATTGGAAAAAGGACATTCCACTTGAGCGGAGTTTCCTGACACATTTTAGCCAATTGGATTTTTATTGTTCTGTTCATCCTTTCCACCTTTCCAGAACTCTGAGGTCTATAGGCTGTATGAAGTTTCCACTTGATACCAAGCACATGAGTTAGTTGTTGTAAGCACTGATGGATAAAGGCTGGACCATTGTCTGATCCGATAGAACATGGAAGTCCATATCTGGGTATAACTTCTCGCAACAGAAATCGTACAACTTCTCCTGCCTTTTCTGTACGAGTTGGACAAGCTTCTACCCAACCTGAGTAGGTACACACAGTTACCAACAAGTAACGATATCCCCCAGATTTAGGCATTACATTGTAGTCTATTTGCAAATCTGACATTGGGAGTCCTCCCATATATTGAACTCCAGGGGGTTTGACAAGGCCTTGTCTTGCATTGTTTCGAGCACACAAAACACATCTTCGAACAATAGCTTGAGTAAGATTGGATAATCTTGGTATGTAGAAATGTTTCTTGAGAGATTCTTCCATACTATCTCTTCCTGAATGTGTACCATTATGGAAGTTCTGAACAATCTCTATAGCCAGAGATGTCGGAATAACTATTCTTCCATCTTCTAACTGATACCAGTTATTCTCCAGATATTTCCCAGCTTCAGTCTTCAACCACTCCATCTCTTGGGTTGTATATATCAGAGTCCATTGAGACAGAGGTGCCAGTACAAGGGCAGCAACATACCCCACATAGTCCTCTTGCCCGGATTCAGCGGCACGTTTTTCTGCACTATCGGCCATGCAATGTCCTTTTACTACATCACTATCACCTTTCAGATGTGCCCTGTAATGTATAATACAGACTTCCTTCGGTTCCCATACCACCTCTAACAGTTGGAGTATTTCTGCTGCATACTTGATTTCCTTCCCTACTGAATACAACAATCCCCTTTCTTTATACAATGCTCCATGAGCATGGGTGTTTAGAAAAGCATATTTCGAATCTGTGTAAATATTCACTCTCAACCCTCCAGCTAATTGCAAGGCCCTTGTTAATGTAATCAGTTCCGCCTTCTGTGCTGATGTCCCTTTCTACAGTGGCCGTGCTTCTATCACCTTGTCTATGGTTGTTACCGCATACCCTGCATAACGTATACCTTCTTTCACCTAACTACTACCATCCGTATAATACTGTATGTCCGGATTCTGGATGGGGAAATCATGAAGATCAGGCCTGCTTGAAAACACTTCATCCATTATCTCCAAACAATCATGTTGACTTTCAATAGGTTGTGGCAAAAGGGTAGCTGGATTCAAATTATTGACAGGTGTACTCTTGGATTTTTACATAACATAGCTTGATAATTGGTCATTCGACTGTTGCTAAACCAATTATTTCCTTTGTACTCCAATAGAGTCTGTACTGCATGGGGTACTCGCACGTAGAGTTCCTGACCCAATGTGAGCTTGTCAGCCTCTGCTACCAACAGGGCAGTGGCGGCCACTGCTCGCAGACAAGGTGGAAGACCACTGGCCACAGCATCCAACTGTTTGGACATATAAGCTACAGGTCTTTGCCATGATCCCAAGTATTGAGTTAATACTCCCACAGCCATTCTTCTTTGCTCATGTAAGTACAGATAGAAAGGACGCGTGTGATGAGGGCTGGGGCACTCATAAGTGCTTTAACATCCTCAAATGCCTTCTATTGGTCAGAGGTCCACAAAAAGGGGTCATATTCTGTGCCCTTCACAGCTTCATATAAAGGTTTTGCCAGTATTGCATAATTAGGAATCCATATCCTACAGAATCCTGCTGCTCCTAAGAATTCTCGCACTTGTCTTCTATTCTTAGGTATAGATATCCGACACACTGCTTCTTTTCTTTCAGGTCCCATCATTCTTTGACCTTCGGATATATGGAATCCTAAATATTTAACAGTTGACTGGCACAATTGTGCTTTCTTCCTCGATACCTTGTATCCTGCTCTCCATAGAATATGAAGCAAATCATAAGTGGCTTGTTGGCATATCTCTTTAGTAACAGCTGCTATCAATAGATCATCCACATATTGAAGTAGTACACATTCTCCTGGGATGGACTTGAAATCTTGCAAATCCTGACTTAATGCAGATCCAAATAGGGTAGGTGAATTCTTGAACCCTTGAGGTAGTCTGGTCCAGATCATCTGACGCTCTGAACCTGTAACAGCATCTTCCCATTGGAAAGCAAAGATACACTCAGCAGCAATCCAAAGGCAAAAGAAAGCATCCTTAAGGTCTAGAACTGTAAAGTAGGTTGCCCCACCTGGTATCAAGGCAAGCAGATTGTATGGTTTGGGTACTGTTACAAACTGCCATTTGTAACGGTT